AGCAAAATGGGATAAGGAGAAAGGGGAAAAAAAACCCCAAACAACACAGAATCACCGAAACTGCCCTTTTGTGTTCTTTAGCAACCACATGAGACAAAAGAAGCAGAAGTTTAGGGTCAAACTCTGGCCAATTTCCAGTTCTTGGATTTCAACCACTTTAAAACAAAAATATTTGGGAGCCAAAGTATTGTCTTTTCCCTTATGGCTCACAGAGCAGCAGCCCAGGCACTGGGGTGGCATGTGGTCCAGAGAGGACACAAGTAATGAAAATGCTGGGTTCTAATCCTGCCTCTACCAGCTGGGGAACCTGTGACCTGTTGTTACTCCCTCTGAGTTCAAATTCTTCCTGTCTTAACCATAATTGCCTGTGAGAATCGAACAAGTTAATACAGTGATAATCACAACAGAATGCATTGGTCTTCATCGAGTACCAGACTCTCTGAAAGGCTACCTGTGCTATCTAACTGCAACCCCATGACATGAGTCTTATTTCCCCTCCAGCAGGTGACAAGAGACAAGGTCAGTGGGCTAGCCACTGCACCCCAACCCACATGAGCATTATTCTTGCTGTGCTCATGATAATCCTATAAGGTCAGTACTGTCATACTCATTTGACAGCTAAGGATGCTGAGGAATGGAAGGAAAGAAAAACTTGCCTAAGCTTGTGTACTGGGTGGCCTTCTCAATGTTTAATCCTCACCAAAACCCCCTGAGAAGGTGACTGGGATTATTATCTCCAGTTTCTGAATGAGGAAAATGAGGCACAGCTATTTCATGTAGTCACAGATGCATGGCTGGTGTTAGCCATAGTGGCAGGCGGTCCTTACCAGGCTGGCTCTGGTTGTGGCTCTGGCCCCTGGCTGCCCTCTCTCATGACCATTTTCTAAGCCTTATTCTCTAACTTTCTGGGAGAGCCTGTGAGCCACCCAATGTCCTTTCAAAAAGTATCTTTTCGGGCTTCGCTGGTGGCGCAGTGGTTGAGAGTCCGCCTGCCGATGCAGGGGACACGGGTTCGTGCCCCGGTCCGGGAAGATCCCACATGCCGCTGAGCGGCTGGGCCCGTGAGCCATGGCCGCTGAACCTGCGCATCCAGAGCCTGTGCTCCGCAACAGGAGAGGCCACAACAGTGAGAGGCCCGCGTATTGCAAAAAAAAAAAGTATCTTTTCCATTTAAGTCAGCCAGGGTATGTTTCTGCTGCTTGCAGGCACCATGGAAAAATGACAGCCCAGGTGGCATTCCCTACCTCATCCACTGTAGAAAACCCATTATGTAAAGAGCATGGTGCTCGGGGGCAAAGGAGGGCACCAAGCAGGCTGAATCAGCAGAGCCCCTGCCCTCCGAGAAGTAAAAGAATGTATGCAATGTACTTCTAGAACAAAGTGATACCAAAACAAAGGACCAGAGTCACTTACAAAACAAAAGTGTAATGGAATTGAAGAGGTTGTACTGAGCTGTTTTTTAAGAATGAGCATTTGGATAAGCAATAAACAGGGAGGCAGGGATAACAGAAATGAACAACAAGGTACAATGGAGGAAAGAGAAAGGTGTACTCAGTGAACAGAAGGGGCTCTCACCTGGGTAGACAGAGATGAGCAGCAGGGATGAAGGGGTAGGTTGAGGGCAGAGCATATTTCTTTCATACACACATATACAAACACACACATACCCAAATACACAAAAACATACACATTGTGTATGTGTAGGTGTGTATGTGTACCTACATATGTGCCTGTGTAAATTTTATACCACTTCAGCCTAGAAATTAAAGAGTTCAGCTTTATCTGAATCCACTGTCAGACCATCCTCAGGTCTCACAAAAGCATCCTGACCCACGCTTTACTCCTAGAGGAAATGGATTGTTCACAGCTTCTAAGGCATGGGCAGCTAGTCTCCAAAGATGTCTCAACAGATGGTAAGACTCGCTGGTCGGGGATGCCAGAGCAGCCGCTCAGCAAACATCTGCTGGTTTCAGGAAGAAGCTGCTTCATCAGGCACCATGAGGACCCTAAGACACATTTCTAGACTCCAGACATATGTCTCTTTGAATTCTCGTGGCCAATAGGTCAGTTTGCCCTCATGTCACCAACTCTGAGCCTGCAATTTCTGTCAGCACCTTCGAGAAAGGCACCTCAAGCACAGAGGTGAGCACTGACCTGGCTGAACAGCCTGGTTGCAAGGCCCTGCCGAGGAAGCAAAAGAAAAGCAGATTACAGAAAAGAGGTAGATTTTATCAGCAAGTTTCATCTATGCCTAGAAGTTATGCCCAAGAGCACAGCACAGAGCAGCTCCTAAGCAAGTATCATATCAAACCACTCTGCTATGTGCCCATGGGGGTTCAAGCTGCCAGGGGAGCATGGCCCCCTGTACTGGTTTCCTTTGTTGGGGGCAAGATTTCTAACCCAGGAACATCTCAGCTAGTGACCAATCTCTGAGCATGTGTTTTAAGTACATGTCATCAATAACTAGATCTGAGCTGGAGAGCACTCTAAACATGAAATACATTTCTGCAACATGAAAAGAAAAAAGACTATTTGGGGCTGGTTTGAATTAGGTAGAATGAGACAGGAATTTTCCTGAAGTCCCCTGCTCTCTTCCTTGGGCAGCTACTCACTGCCTGGCAGAATCAAGACACAGTGCCTGGGGGCTTTAGCCCATGACCCACTGCCTGGCTGGGGGACCACTGTGTCTGAGTAGCGGTGGTAGGCAGACCTCATGAGGGGTGCTGAGGATGACGTTAAATAAAACTATCTACCTCTATGGCTCAAGAAATCTGACTATCTATTATGATTCTGCCTAGAGAGACTTGCAGTCTGTGTGATCAATGGCAGTGCTGGTCCCCTAGTGCTGCCACCACGGAAAGGTACAATTATGCCTTTAAAGCTCAAGGTGCAATTAAATCTCTATAATGGGGCTAATGGTTCAAGCAACCTTGAAGCAGTTGCCATATTTAAAAAGATCATTCTGAATTGTTTTATGTCTGGAATTGCTCTGTAAAATCTGAACTTTTCATCTTCCATTGAGAATGTATTTAATGCTGAGAGAATGGTCTTTTTGCAGACACACTGCACAAAAGGGGGTTTCCTTTTCATCTGGCAGGATCTCCCTGGAGGACTAAACTCCACCGGACAAGGCTGAGCTCAGCCCTCTAAGGCTTGGGTTCTTAGGAATCTGCTTTCTGAGGAAGAGTCCAAAGTGAAGATTAGGTCACAGGATACAGTCCAATCCAGAGCTCACTAGGGGCAACTTGGACTGACATCACTTTCTCTGAGAGACAGAAAAGAAAAACATGTGGCAGCTCACAGGAGCAAGTGGTCAGGTCCCCTCCCTGGAGCTCCCACTGCCCCGGTCTTTCAGTAACTGTGGCCAGCAGGTGACACACGGTATCCTATGATCTCTTTTACCTGTCTGGTCCCTAAGTTCACTATGAACCTCTCAAGGAAGGGGCTGCAACTGGTTCACCACAGGGGACCCAGTAACCATCAGAATAATTAATGGATGGGGTGCTGCCTCACAGAACATTAAGGACGGGTAACAGGTCAACCACGAAAGGGAGACATTAGATATCCAGACCCAAAGGACAGGCACAAGAAGAACACTACAGAGATGGTGAGTTGGAAGCTCTTTAATCACGGACCAAGCTCTTTAAACAGTAACCTAGAACAATTCAGAAATGCAATTTATACTCACGTTATTTCCCGATAATAATGATAACTAAGATGCACTAGGCAGTTTCCACGAGCAACAGTTGTGCTGAAGATGCTTAGGCATCACTTCATATCCTCACAATAACCCCCTGAGGGAGGCAGTATTCTTATCCCTATTTTACAAAGAAGGAAACTGAGGCTCGGGGAGGAAAAGTTACTTGTTTAGGATTACAGAGCCAGCAAAAGGATGAGCAGGATTCAAGCCCAGAGCCTGTCTCATGACCACTGCTTTCCTGCCTGTGATACTGAAACTGGCCCCCAATATTTCTAAAACATCAATAGCTTATAATGGAGTAGATTTTTATTTTGAAGATGCCACAGCTTTCTAATTTATTTTTTGGGGAAGACAGCTCTTTGTTTAGGATCCTCCCAGGTATGACAAAGCAGAGCAAACTCCTACTCCATAATGGTGAGGATGAGGAAAGTAACGTCCTCAATTAAACCCTTTGTACTCATCATCTGTTTCATCCTCACAACCACCCCATGAGGTAGATGCGATTATTATCCACATCCTAGAATATAAGGAAATTAAGGTCTAAAGAGACAAGGTGGTCTCAGCCTTTCAAGGTCACAGCCAGTAAGAAATGGAACTCAGGATCTAATCAGAGGCCGTCTGCTGCCAGAGCCCAGTCCTTGGCTATTATAATCCCAATTCAAAGGGGCAGATGGGAATTTGGGGAAAAGAACTCTAGAATCCGTGAGAAGACTGGATTTGAGGAACACAAGCCTGAAAACAGGGAGCCTCATTAAGACTCATGCTGCTTTGTACTCTAAGACCACAAGTGATTCCATGGTAACCCTAGGAACTCCAGAACCCTCAGATACCATCACAAGGAATGGAGGAAGAAGAGAGAAGGCTCTGTACGCTAGCGCCTGCCGGTTCAATGCAGCTATCTGTTTTTGTAGATTAAATGTTTTCTTGGAACCAGCCAATTTACATATTATCTGCTGATTTACATATTACCTATGTATGCTTGCTTCTGTGCCAGAACAGCAACAGAGACTTTGTGGCCCACAAAGCCTAAGTAAGATATTTACTATCTGGCCCTTTAAAGAAAAAGTTTGCCAACCCCTGGACTACAAGTTAGAGGGCCTGATGCAAACAGGAGCCAGGAAAACAGCAAGCCCAGAGTGTCCAGGCAGAACAGGCACACACTTCACCTATCCAGCTGGTACCTGACACACCCAGCTTATAACTGTTTTTCAAAAAAGCATGATATCCCAAACCAGCCAGCCCTGCCCCTCACGCCCTGCCCTCTCTACCCTCCAAAAGGAGCAGCAGCAGTGAGCCTTACCTTTGTTGTACATGTTCGTTGGCACTTGAACGTCACTCAGGCTGATGTTCACAGGCAAATTATTAAAATGGTCATTTGGGGCTAAGATGAATTCCTTCCCCAGCTCCAAAAAATTCCCATCTTTGTCCCTTTCATTTATCAGCACGGCATTGAAGTATTCATACTGAAAGAGAAAGTCAAAAAACATGACATGTGGCTTAGGGAAGAAGGCTGTGAACTCAGACAGACCTGGGTATGGTTGCGGGTGGTCTGTTCCCTACACTTGTGGATCCTGCTCTAGTCACGTAATCTGTAAGTCTTTCACACCGTCTACGGCTGCTTTTGTACAGGTGTGATAGCATCATATAACTATTTCCCAATGTCATTAAGTACTCTTGAAAAACATAAATTTAAGAAGCTGCTTAGTACTTCCTTATGTGAATATAGAGAAAACTGCCCCAAAACATTTTAATTCTTTAAAGTTTGAAGACAGACCCTGCCTTTATTCAGCCTACCTTTAAGTAGAAGGAGACTGGAAAACAACAAAAATTAAATAAATATATAATATATTAGATAGTCATACTTGTTGTTCTAAGTGCTTTCCATATGTTAACTTATTCAATTCTCCTAACGACTCTATAAAGTAGGTTTTATGAGTATTCTAACTTCACAAATGAGGAAATTGAGGTAGAGAGAATTTATGTACGCTGTCAAAGATTACACCACCAATAAGCAGAACCAGAATTAAAACACAGACAGTCTATTTCCAGAGCCTGTGCACTTAACTGCTGTGCAGTACTGCAAGATGGTAGATGGCAGGTGTGGTTGGAATTATCAGAGCAGGAATTTAAAACAACTGTAATTAATATACTAAGAGCACTAAAGGAAAAAGTAGAAAACAGGTAAGAGCAGACAGATAAGTAGAGAGACAAATATTCTAAGAGAAATAATCAAAAAGAAATGCTAGAAATCAAAAACACTATAATAGAAATGAAGAATGCCAATGGGTCATCACCGGCCTGGATACAGCTGAGGAAATAATCAGTGAGCCAGAAGCTACGTCAGTAGAAACTTCCCAAACTGAAAAGCAAAGAAAAAAATTAATGGGAAAAAAGGAATAGAATATTCAAAAATCACAGAACAATTACAAAAAGTACAACAGATACGTAGTGTAATGGGAATACCAGAGAAGAAAGACAAAAGGGAACAGAAGAAATATTTGAAGTAATATTTCCAAAATTAATGAATGACAAACCACAGATCCAAGAAGTCCACAGAAAATCAAGCACATGAATACTGAAAAAAAGAAAAAACTACACCTAGGCATGTCATATCCAAACTGCAAAAATCAAAGACAAAGAAAAATCTTAAAGTAAGCCAAAAAGAGGAAAAAACCTTACCTACAGAGGAACAAGGACAACGATTACATCAGACTTCTGTTCAGAAAACATACAAGCAAGAAGAGAGTAGCACAAAATACGTAATGTTCAAAGAAAAGACCTACCGGGCTTCCCGGGTGGCTCAGTGGTTGGGAGTCCGCCTGCCAATGCAGGGGACACGGTTCGTGCCCCGGTCCGGGAAGATCCCACATGCTGCGGAGCGGCTGGGCCCGTGAGCCGTGGCTGCTGGGCCTGCGCGTCCGGAGCCTGTACTCCGCGACGGGCGAGGCCGCAACAGTGAGAGGCCCACGTACCGCAAAAATAAAAAGAAAAGACCTACCAACCTAGAATTCTAGAATCTAGAAAAATTATCCTTCAAAAGTGAAAAAGAAATAAAGACTTCTTCAGACAAAAATTAAAGAAATTTGTTGCAAATAGACCTGCCTTGCAAAAAATGTTAAAATTTCATTAAAGGGAGGGAAAACTACACAGGTCAGAAACCCAGAAAAGAGTGTTACAACAGGAATAAATGAAAGTAAAATATTTAATTTTCTTATTCTTAACTGACCTGACAAATAGTTTGATCAAAATAATAATAGCAACAAATTGGATTATTATAGTTATGGATAAGTGAAATGAATAGCAGTGTTATACTACCCATGAAGTGGTACAAGATTATTTGACAGTGGACGTGAATTAGTTGTAAATGTATATTGCAAACTATAAAACAACCACTAAAAAAATTTTTAAAAGAAGTATAAATGCCAAGGAAGGAGAAAATACTACGTTATGTAATATGCTCAATTAAAACCAGAGAAGGCATAAAAAGAGTAGGAGACCAAAAAAAAAAAACAAGGGCAATGAATAGAAAACAGTTATAAGTATGGTACATATTAATCCAACTATACCAATGCTCATTTTAAATGTGAACGGTCTAAATAGATTTAAACTGATGGTCACAGTGGATAAAAAAGAAGAACCAACTATATGCTGTCTACAAGAAACTCACCTTAAATATAAAGAACAGGTCGATTAAAAGTAAAGGGATAGAAAAAGATACACTATGCTAACATTAATCAAAAGAAAGCCAGAGTGGCCATATTAATTTCAGAAAAAGCTGACTTCAAAGCGAGGAAAATTATCAGCAAAAAAGATTGGCATTACATAATGATAAAGGGGTTAATTCTCCAAGAAGACATAACAATCTTTAATGTGTATGCACCTAATAACAGAATATTAAAGTATGTGAGGGAAAAAAATGATAGAACTACAAGAAGAAACAGATAACATGCTACTAAAGTTGAAGACTTCAGTACTCCTCTATCAGTAGCTGATAAATCCATCAGGCAGAATACTGGTAAGGATACAGTTTGAACTGAACAGCACAGCAACTGAATCTAATTGACTATAGACTAATTCATCCAACAACAGCAGAATATACATTTTTCTCAAGCTCACATGGAACAATCACCATGACAGACCACATTCTGGACCATAAAACACACCTTAACAAATTTAAAAGAATAGAAATCATACAAAATGTGCTCTCAGACCACATTGACATTAAACTAGAAATCAATAACAGAAAGACAGCTGGACAAATCCCAAAATATTTGGAGATTAAACAACATATTTCTAAATAATACATGGGTCAAAGAATAAGTCTCAAGAGAAATTTCAAACTAAATTAAAATCAAAATATAACTTGTCAAAATTTGCAAGATGCAGCAAAAGCAGTGCTTACAGGGAAATTTACAGCATTCAATGGATGTACTGGAAAAGAAAAAAAGACCTAAAGTTAATCGGCTAAGCTTCTATTTTAGGAAACTAGAAAAAGAAAAGAAAATTGAATCCAAAGTAAGCAGAAGGGGAAAAAAACACTTTTTAGAAAATTTTGCTGAACAGAAATCAATGAAAATTGAAATCAGGAAATCAATGAAACTAAAAGTTGGTTCTTTGAAAAGATTCATTACAGTGAAAAGATATAAAGCAAAATCATCAAAGGAAAAGAGACGCATGTGGCAAAGTCCAGAGGAATCCAGATGTGAGCTTCCAAGATTTCTCTCCCAGCACAATTACATAAGATGTACAAATTCTTTCAGCAATGAATGGAGGACAACACATTTGAAAGGTTGCCTACCAGAGAGGCTCAACAAAGACTCAGTGCTGGGGCTTCCCTGGTGGTGCAGTGGTTAAGAATTTGCCTGCTAGTACAGTGGACACAGCTTCGAGCCCTGGTCCGGGAAGATCCCACATGCCGCAGAGCAACTAAGCCCGTGTGCCACAACTACTGAGCCTGTGCTCTAGAGCCCACAAGCCAAAACTACTGAAGCCTGCGCGCCTACAGCCCATGCTCTGCACCCAACAAGAGAAGCCACTGCAATGAGAAGCCCATGCACTGCAACGAAGAGTAGCCCCCGCTCGCCGCAACTAGAAAAAGCCCACGCACAGCAACGAAGACCCAATGCAGGCAAAAATAAATAAATAAAATGAATTTATTTAAAAAAAAAAAAAAGGACTCAGTGCTAAGGATTTTTACTGGGTGTTGGTCATGTAGCAACACTAGTTACCAACTTAAGCTAATTGACTTTAAGGAATTCCACACCTAGCAACTATAGAGCACACATTCTCTTCCAGATCATAACAGTGGGAATTCAGTATATGATAATGATACAAAAAATATCAATAACATCTAAGAAAAGATGATATCTAGAAGAATCTTAAAGATTTTGAAATTAAACAACACACTCCTTAATAATACATGTACCATGGAAGAAAATGACAGAAAAAGTTGTAAAATATTTTGAAATAAATGATAATAAAGAAATAAATATTTGTAAGATATAACTGAAACAGAAATTAGAGAAAAATTTATAGATTTTTAAGTTTATCATAGAAAAGGAGATATTTTTAAGATGAATAGTCTAAGATACTACCTTAAGAAGACAGAAAACAAGAACAAATAAAACTGAATGTTAAAAGAAGAAATAAAGTAGTCAAGATAGGGACTTCCCTGGTGGTGCAGTGATTAAGAATCTGCTTGGCAATGCAGGGGACACAGGTTCGATCCCTGGTCCGGGAAGATCTTACATGCCATGGAGTAACTAAGCCTGTGTGCCACAGCTACTGAGCCTGCACTCTAGAGCCCCCAAGCCACAACTACTGAGCCCACGTGCTGCAACTACTGAAGCCTGCATGCCTAGAGCCCGTGCTCCTCCACAAGAGAAGCTACTGCGTGAGAAGCCTGTACACCACAATGAAGAGTAGCCCCCACTTGCCACAACTAGAGAAAGCCCACGTGCAGCAATGAAGACCAAATGCAGTCAAAAATAATAATAATAACAATAATAATAAAGATAAAAGCAGAAACCAATAAAACAAAACAAATAACAGGGGAAAAAAAATCAATGATATCAAAAATATAAAACCCGAGCTAGACTGATGAATAAAAAAGTAAGAAAGCACAAGATACTAGAGTCAGGAATGAAAGAGAAAACATTATTAAAGAGCTGACAGATAATGAAAAGATAAGAGAATAATATAAACAACTTTATACCAATATTTGACAATTTGAGTTAAACGTCAAATTCCTTGAATAACTGAAATTACCAAAATTGACACAAAAAGAAATATAAAATATGACTGGCCCTATGTATACAAGAGAAATTGAATTCACAATTAATAGCCATGATAAAACAAACAATTCCACGTTCAGATGACTTAAATAATGAATTCTATCAAATACATAAGGAAAAAATACAAACAATCTTACATAAACTCTTACAAAAAATTAGAAGAAGGAATA